AAAGAAGGTTCACTGTGGTTGCTTTCCCAAGCCTGTCCTGACCTGGGACTCCTCAGACCCAATATCCTCTGATTTGCACAGATAATATCCTGAATATTTGCGTGATTTATTTTTCATAGGTCTGCTCTCTAGGCTTGTTTTAAACCTTGTAGGTTTATGTGCTGTCGTTACAGGAACTGCTAAAATCAGGCATCCGTTAAGCAGCACGAGGTGTGAACAACAGTTACAGGCAAGAAGTCGTTTCTCAAGTGGCTTGAGCAGACACATCTAAGCAGTTCTGACTGAAGGGCTGACGGGGCTGTATCTTTCTTCCTTTGACTCTTGTCCCCACCACTGCCAAAGCCACTGCACATTCCTGCCTCACCCTTCATCCAGGCACTAACACATATGACAGCACAGTCACCCCGACCAGCTCTGCCATTTGACTGAAAATTTATGCCCTCCCCACTTTCTGCACTGTCTGTTTCCCCCTGAATTTTATTTCTCTGGAGATGCTGCTTTGAAGGGAACACTCTTTCGAAACCTCTCACTTAACCTTATCTCATAATTTTTAAGAATTTAATACTTAAGGCAGCTGGGGAAGACCCTGAGGAAAAGGTCTTTTATTTTGCTTTGAATTTCTAATACTTAGTTTTGCAACTAATGATTGGTTCCAAGTTTTTCCAGGGTTTCAGTTGCATGGGGAGTCTCCCTATTTTTGGGAGCATGGAAGGATCTGGGCAGATGTGTGACTGGAAAGGTTATCTGGGGAGTTGAACTGGCAGGAGTTAATTGTGTGAAAGAGTAGGTGCAGAGTGCTGGCAGTTTGGTTTGGCCAGAGCTTTGGTGTGTGTGTGGGCAGGTGTGTATATTCATATGTGCAAAGCCACTTCAAATCAGGTGTACAGTGATGACACAATTATTTTAGAGAGCCTGATAAATTTGAGCTTGGCTTTGGGTACTCTTGCTAAGCGATTTGAATTTTGAGGTGTTAAATGTAATGGTTTTGAATGGGCTTGGTAATGCCCTGAGACAGTAATTCAGTTTTAATACCTGTTTGTCTCATGACCTACTGGTATCTCAAACCAAAATTAACAGCCCTGTTTTATAGGAGTGTTTAATATAAATCTGTCCCAACCAACTTTCCATTTTTACTACAGCTCAAGGTGTTAGAGGAGGTTCAAAATTAGTCCAGTATCTTATGTAAGTGGACAGTACTTTCTGAGTAGTAAGTATTTTTTTTTCAATGTTTCCAGGGATTTTCTTCCACGAGGATCTGGAATTGTGACAAGACGACCATTGGTCCTGCAACTCATCACTGCCAAAACAGGTAATTCCTTTCTCTTTTTGGGTCAATGCCTGGACAAAGTGCTGATGTATTTCAGCAGGAGGAAAAACTTTTCTAGGAACTTTTGAAGAAAGGTACCACCAGACCGTCTGGAACAAGGGCTTGCTGCTTCAAAGTTATATTCTCAGGAGCAACTAAGTCCATTGTCCTGTCTGGGAAAACAGTAACATATAAATCCTAGAGCTCATAGTGAATTTAGCCAAAGATCACTCTTGAAGCAGTGGAGAAGCGTCATTACATAGAATATGTTTTAGAAATTAGCTTTGACTTATTCATTTCTCGATGAGCTTTGCATCTGTATTAGTTAGCACGCCAAAATTGCTGCACTTCTGCCTTTAACTCTTGCTCCAGTGCACACAGATTTGGTTCCACACAGCTTGTTTTCGTAACTTGTCTTTTTTGGTTGGGCTTACTGCACTAAATAGAGCAGAAGGTAGATTGGGGGGAAAACAAGGCTTCTGTGTATTTGTCTGGTCAAAAATGTAAATATTTTTGTGTGTACCACTAAGCTGTGGGACGTATTGAGATCTTTCACCAGGATTCACCACTTTGTCCCCTTGCAGGGGGCACTTGATCTGCTGTGGTGTAGCTCAGTTCCCTGGCTTTTCCATCATTCCAAATTCTTGTTGTGGTTGCTTCTAAACCAATGTAAACAACAAAAAATACTGGTTTAGTATTGACTTCTACTTAAATTAGTAAAAAGTAATTAAATAACATCCAAAACAGCTTTAAAAAGCAAAAAAAAGAGTGCTCTTTAAATTATGCACCAAGATGAAATGGGGAAGAAACAGTATTGAAACTGCCTGTGACACTTCATTCTGTCCTTATGTGTGAGGTGTAACTAAGCTTCTGTGAGTATTTTTTCCTAAAAGACCTTTGCATTGTTGATCAGGAGGGTAGACTGCAGTCTGTCTAGGCTTCAGGGTTTTTTCTGCTTTTAGAGCACGTTCATACTTTCAATGCCTCCGAGAAATTTTCCATAGTGTTTATGCTGTGGAAGAGAAAGAAAAAACAGTTTAATTTAGCGTTTCTGTATGCTCAGCTTAGAAACTTCAGGATTTCCAAGGGTGTAGTATGCTTACAGTGTTCTCTATATATTAAATATGAAGTTTTAGTTGGAGATATGAACACCTGCCATTTGTGCATATCTGGCATTTGATCTTTGCCAGAGCATGCAGGAATAAATGCAAGGATAAGGCCCAGCTGTGGAGAGTCTCAATCTGATTTTCCCAGGACCACGTAAGAGCAGAAGAAAGAAATGCATTGGGCTCTGTGCTGGCATTCCCAGCAAAATTACTAAACTCTAAGGACAAATGAATTAGTAAGTAAAAACTTACACTCTGACCTCAAGTGGTTACATGCTTATTCATTGACATCCATCCTAAATGGTCCATGTTGTCCTATTCTGTGAAATCATCGTTTTCCCTTGGTTGAGGGGACACTGAAAGGGCTTCTCTCTTTCTGGTATTTTTCCCATTAATATGTTCACAAAGTATTAGTGGCTTTAATTAGGCCTGTAGGCTTTGTGTAGGTACCTTCTCTGCTGAAAATTAGTCCTTCATTATAACTGAAATAACACAATAAGAACTTTAAAAATTCTGGAGAACTGAGCTTCAGCCTAATTTTGTGCTTCCTGGATGTCAAGGCATATTTCTCCCTTTGGGAAATGCTGTGTACTTCTTGTTTGGGATTAGATACCAAAAACCTTTAAAATGCAAGCTTTAATTATTTTGTTACTCTCTTTAAACTTTGTTCCCCTGTTGTTTTTGGTGGTGAAATTCCAAATAACTTTATCTTTTAAGCCACCTTTATCTTTGTGAACTAATTTTAAGAAAGGAAAACAAAGAAAACTCCTTAGAGAAGCACAGTGTTCTTTTTCAGGAAGCTGATGCTGGACTGATTTCTATCAAGTCCGTAAATATCTAAAATGTTATAGAATAATTAGAGGGTTGTATCAGGTTCTTGGGGCTGTAATAAGAACTTATTTCTGATCCAAGGATCTTTCTCAACTCTCTTAAAAGTAGCTATTCTTAATCTTTTAGTATTCCTGGGGAGAGAGGGGGCACTTTCTACACAGGCAGTCAGAGATGAACTGCAAGATAGTTTATCAACATTTTGGAACTGGCTGAGAATCGTTTGGAATGTGAATTTAATTGACAGAGGAGATTAAAGCTTCCTTTAGCTTTGAGCTATTGCAGTCAGGGATGAAGCAGCAGAGGAATTGTGTGCCCACCAAAGTAAGAGGGAACTGTGCCCATCCATTATCAGGGTTGGACATGTCATGGAAAGGGGCAGCAGGAATTGGTTATGAGGAGTTACCAGAGGCCCCCCAAAATCTGAAAGATCTGACACACCTGGGTAAGGAGCTGTTACCTCTGCAAGGGGTACCATGACACAAGTCAGTACAAAGACACCTATCTCATCAGAGGTGTGGAGTATTTTAATTTATTTTTTTTTAGACATTTGTTTACTTCCTCTTTTTCAAAATATTCTATGTAGTTAATACAAAGCTCTTTTGTAGTGACCTTTTGACCTCTTTTAGTCACTAACATATTTTGGTGATCCTAGTACAATTCCTAAATGGCTTGATGGCATTTTCACTCCACATCCATGTAAATACTGTACTCAGTTGAAATACTGGAGGCAAATAGAAAGGTTTTAATTAAGTATTGCAACTGACAAGATAGTCTTAATTAGTTTTGAGTATTTAGTCTGAATTTGATTGTGTGAGAAATACCTAATAGCATAGAAGAAGTCAAAATATGCATGTTAAAAGGATTTACAGTCCTCTGAAAGATTATGGCTTGTTCTGTGTTGTTGCCAGCCTCTGATGGAGCTCAGGTTAGACAATGGGTTTGGAGAAAATGGTCCCAGCTGGGAAGGTGCAGTTTTAGGAGGCACAGGTGCTGGCAGGAGTGCTCGGAGCTGGAGCTTTTACCAGCTGGGCACCACGGCTGGCATAAATTACCCATTCAGAGGAGGTACAGGGGAGGGGTTCTACCTGCCTTTTTTTGGAGTGAGAAGGTGGATGTGAGGGCAGTTTATTTTGCGAGACTCTGATTTCCCAATTCAGATAAAACACGTGCTGGTTCGTTCCGTGTTTGACTGCTGCAGTGTTAGATCCAGGGAGCTCCTGCTTTCTCACCAGGACAGCATTTGTTTGAAATGTTGTGTGTTGTGGTATTTCAGGAGTTCCCAGTGAGTGTAGAGTGCTGCTCTCTCACTTTTTTACTCCTGATTGCTTTTTGAGGAGGAGGAATGCTGAGTGTATTCCTGTAGTTGGGCTTTTAGGTGGATTACCCTCTGTGTAAGATGCAAGTGCTGGCACACAGCTGACCTGTGATGAGAATTTTGTGGCTCTATGAGTGTTCAGTTGTCTTGGAGCAACACAACATACCTTATGCACAGCCCAGTTAGTTCCATGTCATCTCCTAATCTTCTCTCTGCAAGTTTGGCCAGTGTCACTGGGACTTTGAAATGGTGCTGCTGAGTGAGCTTTGAGAAGGTAATGACTCGAAATGCCTGAGAAAGATCTTGAGCGATGTAGGCTTTTTGTTTTATGGGTTTTTTTCAGCTGCTGCACATTCTGTATAACCTTAAGCAACCTGTTCTTCCTCTTGCTGTGCTTTCTCCTGCCTGTGCAGGTGAAATAATGACTGTATTTCTTCAGATTTGGTAGTATGTTTTTTAAACAGCAGTGGCAACTGAAAGTGCTCTTGGGTTTTGGGTGAAGCCTTTGTTGTAGGTCTTGTCTGTTAAAAGTACATTACCTGCTACATAAATCCTGGTATTTGTTATTTGTATGTTAAATGTCTTGGCTTTAGGAGAGTTATTTTCATAATTTTGTTAACTGTTTGTGGAGGAATTTCAGATTTTCTTCTTGCTTCAGCAGATTAACAGATTTTGAAAATCATTATTGAGGTGGACAGTTTTACATGGATGAGTCACATGTACAATACCCACATTTGTTTGAGTTCTGCTAATTAGAATACTAAATGGAAAGCAAACATAAGGTTCAAAAGACATCCTGATTTTTTTCTGAAGTCTTGCACATGCTCTCTTCTATTGAAGTTGTTGAGCTTTAATCCAAATTTCGTTTGCTGGAAGACTACTCCTCAAGCATAGCCATCTTTTGTTGCCCTCTGGTGGCAAAAGCAGTCCTCTAACAGAATATGAAAAAGGTACAAAAATAACTTAGATTGGTTATTTCAGCTAAAACACAAATTGTCTTAGAGACTTCATCAGCAGGAAGGCATCTGGAGGTCCTAAAGGACAAAAACTAGAACAAATGCCACAGTGCCAGTAGTAGGGAAGAGTCGGGGCTCTGGGCAAGGAGGAGAGGAAGGCAGTGGCTGCTGTCTTCTGAATGCCACTCTTGGCAGCTCCTCGTTCAGATGATGAACAAGGAGGCTGTAGAGACCAAAAACATTATTGAGGTGCAGAGCCCAAAAGCTAAAAAGTGACACCACCACGGGGAAAAGGAGGCAGGGACTGGAGACCCCTTCCTGAACCAGTGGAAGGCTCATCACCCACACAGGACTGATATCCTGGAAAAGGGATAACGCTGCTGGTCTGGAGCCTGAGCTTAAGCCCAGTGAAAGGTTGCAGGGACTGCAGATGTTCCTGTGCACCTGCCAGTGTCCCTCCTGCTGCTGCTGTCTGTGCTGTCTGAGCTGATCCGCAGGGACTGCTGAGCTCTGGCAGAGGGGCTTGGAGGGCTCAACCAGTTCTCCCATCAGCACAGTGAAAGGGGCTTCAGCTCACGTTGGGACAAATGAACTGTACCCACAAATACCATACGAGTGGTTTAGAAAGGACTCCTGTAGATGGATGCACAGCTGTTCCTCCAGGTCATGTTAAGTGTTTGGTATTACTGGTAGGATGACAGAATAAAGTGTGCTCATTAAGTCTGTGTTGGGGAAATACCAGTGAGAATATAAAAGATACTGGGGGGCAGAACTGGAATTCAGATTGCTTGCAAAAGAAATGCCCCCAAATTTCCAGGAAGGAATTCAGTTGGGATAAGGCTGTTTCTGTACTGAAAAGCTGGTACTGATGTTTTCAGAAAAGGACCTGGTGCTCCCAGTGAATCTCTAACAGAACATAACTCACTGATGTTGAGCTGTTGTAAAACGCAGAAGGGCATACTGTACAAGATGCATCACACAAATGCAGTCTTACAAAGTAGTAGTTGTGCATTTTCTCAGTCCTGGGAAGGAGAGAGAGCTCTGGTGAGAGCTCTGCCTCTGTGACTTTAGGAAAAATTCCTGGGGGATGGCTGTGTGAGTGACTGGAAGTTTGGAAAGCATGATCAATAGGAGAAGGTTGAAGGAACAGGGATATATTTCTTCTACAAACAGAAAGTTTCAAAGATGTGAAAGATTATTGCATTCTCTGGCACGAGTGTCTATCCTTATAATTAACCATTTAATTGGTTCCTAAGAGCATGACCTGGTATTTTATGCCAGCTATTTTCATCAGATCTACACTGTTTTCAATATTTGTCTGTCTGGTGCTGTGATATTCTTGCAGTCCTCTGCATTGACAGTATTTTCTGGTTTGTCTTCTGGAAATACGAGGGTACTTCTATTTCTTGTAGCCTGTCTTCTTGAAGGTTGAAAGGGGAATACCTCAGTTTGAGTATTTCATCTTCAGCTTGTGAGCAAAGCTGCAGAAATGGTGATGTAGAAGAGGGATTATAGATTAAGACAACAGGGGCTTTTGATAGTGCCTCTCTTTTCAGTGCAGCACTATTGAATGATTTGCTGCGGTCCAGATTCACTTCACTGCATTTACTTTGCTCAGAAAAAGCTGGTCCATCCTCAAAGAAGAGGTGATGTACTTTTTGCTGACGGTGTTTATTTGCCTGTTTTTAAAAAGCTCTCTTGAAATCACCTTTGAAAAGCGTTCTGAGGCTTTGTGAGGGGCTTTGTTGGAGTTAACAAGGCTGTTGTTGCTTGGGTGACACCTCCCTGAGGGGCTGGCAGATAGAAGGTGCAAAAATAGCAGATATTCCCCCTTTACTATATATGTTTAAAATGTTTGCTAGAGGTCTACAATTTGATGAGCCACCCTTTTGGAGAACTCACAAGCTCTTTTGAGTGTTCCAGACTGGATACAATTACCAACTTGGAGCAACTGAAATCAGGTTGAGAGGAGTTCTGAGTCCTGCTCTCTCATCTGGGTGAATTCCTGACCTCTGGTAACAGATTGTTCTGTGCAGGGTGAAGTCTTGGAGCTTTGTTAGGTCTTGGACTCAGCCTGATGTGGATCAGGGATGTTTTCCAAAACATCTCTTATGTATTTCCAAGGGCTGATCCATGTCTTGTCACTCAACTCTCTTTGGCTTAGAGACAGATGTATGGAATATCTCAAGTGTGGATGTAATTTAGATGGTTTGAGAACAGCAGTGACTGTTTGTTTATTGGTAATAACAATATAAAATCATAAACAAGACCAAATCGTAAAAGTATAGGGAGATATAACTGACTGGAAAAATTAGGAACATTTAAAAAGATGTTGTTCCATAACACTTCTTTGTATCATTTGTCTAATTTAGTAAAAATTGGAGAGATAAATAATCACTTGTGGATGCACTGAAGGAACTATGCTGTGGTAGCCTTTTCATTCTACATTATCCAAGGTGCTTTTAATGAACCTGGGGGGAAAAAAAGAAGCATTTTACATGCAAAGACTGTTTTAATTTTGTATCTAATTGTTCCTTCTTGCCATGTAACTTCCTTTCCTTACAATAAATACATGTCTGAAAGCTGGACATCAGGCAGGGTCATTCTTTCGTTTCTCACAAAAATGTAAGTAAAAAATGTTTCCTTAGTGTTGTTCTGTGGATGAAAGCTGGAAAGGGAAGATGGCATTAAAGCAAGTGCTCCTCCAGTGTGGCTGAAGGCATCACTGCCAGGGACAGGCTGAGGGCTGAAAGGAGCCAAACAAAGCGTCGCTTGTCCTGTGGAATTTTCATTCCGTGGACTGCGTGTGGCACCACAGGTTAAGAAATCCCGGCAAAGTCGATTCCTGCAGCTCTGGTGGGACTGCAGATGTGGCTGGGAGGGATGAGTTATTGATAAGCATTAACACAGCTGAAAAGTAACAGATGTTTTTATTTGGATTACCTGGGAGCCGTTTCGGAGAGCGACTCTCTCTGTTCCTGAGTGGGAAGTGGAACAAAAAGAAAAGCTTCCTTGGCAATCAGCTGAATCAGTCAACTGATTCCAGCTCGGCACCAAGTATTAATTGCTGAATTTAGAAAGATTTTTCTGAGCAAATCTGATGAAAACCTAAGAAGGATACATTGTTTTATGCCAGGAGCAGTGCATGAAGAACTGGAAAAAAGTATGTCAGCTCTTTTTTTAATGAGGTAGCTGTTTTCCAACTTTAGGATGACAGATTTTACAAATGTAAAATCTGAAATGTGCTAGAGCAACAGAGCTCTTTTATTTTGTTCATGATGTTATTTTAAATTTTGAAATATTTGAATATTCCTTGACTTTTTTAATAACCAGTTGACAGTGAAACAAAGCCCACATTCATTGTCATTTTGCTTCTGGAGCTAAAAAAAAGAATATAAGATATTCTGGAATGTTTATATTGTCAAAAGTGAGGCAGAGTTAGTTTGTTGTTGTTGTTGTTGTTAGGTGCTCTCATTTTTAAAACAAGTAATGTATTTTTGTCTTAACAAGGGTGAGTTTCCTTGTTCTTTGCACTTTGAATCAGGAGGGATTATGGTATTGTATGGTATTTAGGAAATGAGGAGTTGTGTTAAAACATTACAGTCTTTTTAAGTGATCTTATTTTCATTATGGACTTGTAAAAAATTACAGAATTTCTTTGCTAAATTTGGGCATGACAGGGGCTGTTAGTGTTTGAAACAAATGCTAATAATCTTTCATGATACAGAATTTGAATTACTTTTCAATTTAGTGATGTATTACAGGCAAATGTAATCAGATGAAGAGTCAGAATCTGATTCACAATCTGTTCCTTATTCTATTACTGTAAATGGCATCTAATTGAATCTTTCAGGTTGTTCCAGAAGACGATGTGCTGAAGATAAGAGCAGCAAATCATATCCAGTCAACTTGACTTTTTAACTAAACCTTTCTCATTGCAGGCTGATTTTCAGATGTGTAATCACAATAATGCTTTCCTGATAGCCATGATGTTGTGCTTCTGTGCACACACATCTGAACAACACTAGGGCCTTGATAAGCCTGTGAAATAACAGAGTTGTTGATGTTTTCCCAGAGTATGCTGAATTTCTACACTGCAAAGGGAAGAAATTTACTGATTTTGATGAAGTTCGTCAGGAAATCGAAGCAGAAACAGATAGAGTGACAGGAATGAACAAAGGCATTTCTTCAATTCCTATTAATTTAAGAGTATATTCTCCACATGGTAGGTAAAATCATTGTGCTTTACACTTCTGTCATGTAATATATTCTGTAGCTCTGTTTGTCTAACCAGTGTCCGTTTGTATTTGTTCTCACTGCTCGATCTTCTGGGATGAAAAAGCTTCTGAGGCAAAGCTGAACCAAAAGTGGGTTTGTGTCTGGAAGAATCCTCGAATTCTCCTGTTTTAAGAAACCACTCTCGAGTGGAGAGCTGTTGCCATGAGAGATGGGCAGAACAGAGACTCTCTGCCCCATTTAATATTCTCTTTATTTAAAAATATTCTCACCCTGCCTCAGGATGGAACCACTCTCTCCCCCAGTACATTCATTATTAGATGGTAGCTCATTAGTAAAGACAAATAACAGGAGGTGAGAGACTTAATGGCAGAACTTTTTTGCCATCCTCCAGAGGGATTCCCTGATCAGTGATGTAGAAAGTCACTGGTGTCTCCCTACCTTACTGGAAGTTTATTGTTCCCTGTCACTAAAAACATGTTCAGGCAATGATGGTGTTTGAAGCTGCTCTCTGTTTTAGACCCCCAGTATAGATCAAAGTTTAGTTCCTCTGGTTACCATCTGCCCAATTTAATGAAGACAGTCTAGGGAAAATGTTTCCCATTGAGTCTGTCTTTGATAAAGGAGAAAAGTGTTTGGCTGAAGCACTTTATTTTTCTAACTGGAGAGGGGCTGAACTAAATCCCCTGCCTCAAAGCTTGTTGGTTGAACATGCTGACTCCCGGAGAAAGTGAAAATTTCCTACCTATTGCTCTTACTTCATTTTAGTAAAATCAGTCTTTAGTTTGGCAACTCTGGTCTGTATTAACCAGACCCAAAATATACATCTGGTGTTTTCTTTCTAGGAATAGCATTTTTGTCATTTTTCTAAGGGATACCCCATGCCCCAGCACTGACTGAACAAGCTGGGATGCTTCTAATTGGCACTGTGGCCTGTCCTGGGGAAATCGTGCCAGAGCAAACAGGTTTTCTTAGTGGATTAACTCCTTCATGTTTATTATTTTTCAGAAGAAGTTACAGAGTAAAAAATACCCCCAAACCTTCAGAACAACAATATACCCCTCAACCCCTTAACAGCAATTTTGCTGTGTAAATTAGGACTTTTTTTGGAATTTCTTAATTGGAGATATTGTTCAAAGCATGGTCAGAGAATGACTATATTTAAGAAGCTCAGAAAACCATGCTCATTTGTCTAAGAGCCCTCAAGGTTATTTGGCATAGAATGATACTTATACCAGTTGTAAAATTTAAAATACTAAATAACACTTATAAATTCAGAGATGAAAGACCAGCAGGGAAACAAATACACTTTTCAGATCAGCAGGCATTTTGTTTGAACTGCTGACAATGTTTATGTGCCTATAAAGGTCATAAAGGGCTTTTCTGTGACTAAAATTTGTCTGCAGCCGTGGATGTGTAGACCTGTCTGACATGGAGTGCTAACCAGGTCTGTGATCCTGTGTTTTCCATACAGTCTTAAGCCTGACCCTTATTGATTTGCCGGGAATCACTAAAGTGCCAGTAGGGGATCAGCCTCCAGATATTGAGCAACAGATCAGAGACATGATAATGCAGTTCATATCCCGGGAAAACTGTCTGATCCTGGCTGTGACTCCAGCCAACACTGACCTGGCCAACTCGGATGCCCTGAAGCTGGCGAAGGAAGTGGACCCTCAGGGTAAGCACTGATGGATTGCCACTTTGTGTTCTCAGGGTAAGAACATGATTGGAACTAACAGATCAACTCTTGTGTGAAATGTTATAATGGGAAATATGTCATAGAGAAGTGTATATATCCATTGTCACACAGCCTTCAACATCAACCGTGGGTTAACTCAGTATTGTGCTGGTAATGCTGCTGTAAATGTATTTTAAAAATGTTGTCACTATCCCTTATAAGCAAGTGCAGCAGTGCCTATCCAGGAATTTTTGTAGTACCAGGCAAAATGGACCATGGTGCTGATGGGGTTTCTGAATACTTGCATTATAAATTTTATACAATCATATTGTAGGGATTCTGAGCCTTGTTAATGAGATTTGATGAGCATGTTTCAGCAATTTTGTTCCTTCATTTCCAGACATACCATCACTTGAGTTGCAGCTGGGAGGGTGTGATACAAGCTTTGAGAAGGCTACATATCTGTTATTATATAATTGTAAGATGTAATTGTTCTTCCTGAATCAAAATGATTTTTTCAGTAACCTTTTCCTCCTGTCTCCACCCTGGTCAGGCCTTAGGACCATTGGTGTGATCACTAAATTGGATCTGATGGATGAAGGAACAGATGCGAGAGAAGTTCTGGAAAACAAACTGCTCCCTCTTCGTAGAGGTGGGAACATTTAGTTGTTTGTATTCTTTGCAATCCAGAAAGTGGTTTGGATAAGGGCAGTGTTTGAGAGTCCTGGACACAAATCAAAGGTTATGCTGGACTTGATGAGTTCTTTGCTTTTGTAGATATCTATTCACCAAACATAAAAGATGGCTGTGCTAAAAATATCCTGCAAGTAAAATAAGGGTTTTTTTCTTGTACCTGGAAAATACACTTTATATTCCAGAGGAAGCAAGAAATGTCAGCACAAACTTTTAGCCGTTTTTTTTCTTCTCTGCCAGGTTGCTGTCACTTGTAACACCATAATCTTTTTTTCTTTGCTCGTGACAGCAACAAGCACGAGAGCTTTGGTAATCTCACTATAAAACAATTTACGGTACCTTCCAGAAATCTTCCATCTGATTGTTCTGGCAGCTACTGCCACAGTTGCTCATACTGTTAATAATTTATGGATGAGACAACCATCTCCTCCCATGAGCATATTGATCCAGCAAATGTGAAGGTTTTTTTGTATTTTGTTAATATTACATCATTTATCTGTGTAGACCTGTGTGTCTGTTTTGATTTTTGGTTTGGATTTTTTGTTGGTTTATTTTTGAATTGGTTTCTTTGGGATTCCCCAAAGTTTCATACATTTCTCTTTTTGCATTGATGATTTAAAAATAAGCGTATCTGCTATACCTAAACAGAATGAGCAATTTAGACAGCGTTAAGGGCACTTGAGCACTTGTAAACAGGATCTGAAATGCCTAAATTTGAGAGTTTAGTTCTAGTTAAGGTGAATTCAGCAGTTCAGGCAATAGCTGCATTGATTTACCTGCTGGCTTTGTGTTGCTTTAGGCTATATTGGTGTTGTAAACAGAAGCCAGAAAGACATTGATGGGAAGAAGGACATCAAAGCAGCTCTTCTGGCAGAAAGGAAATTCTTTCTTTCCCACCCATCCTACAGGCACATGGCAGATCGGATGGGAACGCCCTACCTGCAGAAAGTCCTAAACCAGGTAAAACCTGAAGCCTTTGTGGGGAAAGGCAACGTTATAACCATTTATAACCTTTATAACCATGGGGCCAACACAGAAGCTTTATTAAAATGAATGTTGGCCACTGAACCTGCCTTATTCTCTCCTGCTTTTAATGTTTTTAATTTGCACAAGGTAAAAGCAACGCTGTGTATTACTTGTAGCATACAAAGGCTTGCTGTGAGACGTAGTTTCTGCCTTTTACTGGCAGTTCTGTACTTCCCTGTTCTCTTGAATCATGAATATGAACATCAAAAATAAGATTTGTCTCCCTTCCTGGGAGTACACCATCCTATTCCTTTCTTATCACATTCCTCTTAAAGGGATTTTTAGTACTCAAATTTAGAAATCAAGGGTAAAAAAAAAAAAAGCATTTTTAGAAGTCATGTGTCCTGAGGGTGCACTGTGTGTCTGTGCTTTAACCTCAACATGTACACTTTGTTGTAGTTTTTACTATAAAGAAATACTGTGTACTAATGATATAAATGATAAACAGAGTAATCAGAACACTTTACCCACCCAACTTTTACTTTTGCCAGAACCTCTGGTTTATAAGTTCACACCAAACAATGTCAGATCCCACCTTCCTTCAGCTGAAAACAGAGCTATTTCCCAGTCACCTGGAGGAGAAACCCACAGCTTATTGTCCTGATGGAGGCCCTGCCTACAGCAGGCTTAGAGTTCTCTTCACCATTTTGGGTCTGTGTGGCCATTTCTTAGCTTGAACAGCCTGTGACCCTAAAAGGATGCAATTCTGCCTGTGTTTAGAATGTTTTGCCTCTTTTTATATACTGAAAGTTGAATCCACAAGTCCTAGTTTTGGACTGAAGCACAAGCTACAAATACTTTTGGGCACTCTTATCTGTCCTGATTTTCATTACTTTATATTCTATTAAATTTTTTGTGAGCTGTTTGGAAAATTTACCTGCTTTGGTGGGAACTGTTGATCTGCTGGTGCTTTTACTGTGTGTACAATATTATTTATGGGAAGATCAGCATAAGTTTTGTCCTTAAGGTAGTGGGGACCTGTTAGTGTTTGTGGTTTCAGGTAATAATTTGGTTTCTCTGCATCCACAAGGTGGTGCTCCAGGGAAACTCCAGCTTTCCATTTGTGCCTGTCTGGGAGTCTGGTGAACAACTTGGAGTTTATATATTTTGGAATATGACATTCTGAATTTATGGCTTCTTTGATTGGGGTTGGCAAAAGGGTCTGGGGCATAGTGCAAGAAACCCAGTTTAGTTTTAATTAAAAAATGGGCACAATGCATGAGAAATTTATGGCACAGGTAAGACATTGATAGTGCTGTCCAAACACAGTAAAACATATATATGCAAAAACAAGAGAGGTAAATTAAACACAGATCTGGTAAGTCTGTTTCTACTCTTGTTCAATTTATTTTCCAGTACATTTAGGTATATTTTCGAAAAAACCCTGAAACTATTGAGTGGTAGAACCGTTTTCAGCCCAAAATCAAGTGCTTAAAAAAGAAAAAGTCGTAAAATCATTAATATGAGGGCAAGATCTCTTCCCTTTAATATACTTTGCACAAGGGAGCAAAAATCACATGGGAAAGTGCCAAGAAGCTACTCTGATGTCTGTGCTTTACTCCACCTCTGGAGTGATGTCCATCAGTGGGATGTGGATGCTCAAGATCTCTTTCCTGTCCCACCTGCAAAGGATTTGTCGTGCTGAACGAGCACGTACAGAACTGGGAAGCACCTTTAGGAAAACCAGCAAAACAGGAGTGATGGCATCAGCACTGAGGGATGAGAGGGCATTTCAAATTACACATCTAACGTGTGTAACTTTTCTGTGAGTGACCAGGCAGGTGTGTGGTAACAGGGCTCGGTGAGTGAGGGGACAAAGGAATTACTGGAGCCTCTTTACAATGTGTATGCACGAGGAATGTTGTATTGTTCTTTAACAGCCTCCATTACTTCAGAGATCAAAGGGAACTGCCCTGGTAAACCAGCACAGGTCGTGGCTGATAAGCTGGGCAGTCAGAAGGAAATGGTTGTGCTCCTGCTTTCATCTTTATTAACAATATAAAAGGACTTTTATTTGCTTTTTTAGCAACTTACCAATCATATTCGGGACACTCTGCCAGCCTTCAGAAGCAAACTCCAGAGCCAGCTGCTTTCTATAGAACATGAGGTAGAGGTTTACAAAAACTTCAGACCAGAAGATCCAACCAGAAAAACAAAAGCCCTGTTGCAGTGAGTGTCTTTTGTCTGCTTGTTTTTTCTTCTTTTTTTTTCTTCTTTGTTTCTGGGTTTAAATCTAAAGATTAGGATATGATTAAGGATTCTATGTGTGAACTCCAAAGAATTCCGTGTTTGATGTTCCTAAACACTTTATATAGTCTACAATTTCAGCAGTTTTCCCTAAATTAATTATAGTAGTCCTAGGAAAGAGAGAAAGCAGAGCAAGGAAAAGATATAAAGGTGGGCATCAGAGATGATCAAAGGTAAGAAACTGCTTCTCATTGTATAGGCACGTTCTTCTGTCTGCCAAAAAGATGACCTCAAGCAAGGGAAGGTCATTGTGTTAGAAGTCTGTAAGATGAGGAGACTGGAAGGAGAGTAGGGAATGCTTCTTTTTCCAGTATAAAAACTTATCTTTCCAAAAGAACTCTAAGATGGCAAGAGACAAATTAATCATAGGTGGTAGTCCTTTATGTGTTGTGCACCTAAGACCCAGAGATCTTTGATAACACCATTGTAAAGGAATGGAACAGAGATGACTGTTCATCTGCCTTTGAATCGGGGGAAGTGGAATCAGAGCTCTTTCTTAACTGTGGCTTTAGCACTATGGAAAATGGCCAGTGCTGACGTTTGGGATTGAACACCAATTGGCACCTGTTGCTTTGCTTCCCGCTGCTTCCTTACCTGCTCTGTTTCCAGGGATGCTTGATATTGCTCTGCAATTTTTGTTCTCCCTTTTTTTTTTTTTTTTTTTAAATTGTAAGCCTCTGCAGCCACTTTTGTGTTCCTTAGAAGAGGAAGCTTGCAAAGGGGGAAGAGAGGTGTAGAACATACCCAGCTCTTGTCTCTTATGTGACTGTTGTCACGTTCCTGCTCGGACTGATTTCAGAGGTTTTCAGCTTTCTGAGTTCTCTGAGGTAGATGGTAACAGCACTGGATTGTGATAATTCAGAAGTTTTGTGCAGGATTCATTCTATAATTAGAAGTCTGAAATTCAGAAGGGAAAAAAATCAGCTGAACTAGAGAGACTTCCTTGAGCCAGCTGAAGACTCCAATTTACTCCTTATTTTTGTAACAACTGTGTCCAAAGGAGTAGACATAAGACAGTTCCTCATGACTTTACTCCAGATGTTTTGGTTGCACAGAGGGCCATCACCTTTGGCTTTTCCATGGCTGGAAGAATTCTCCTGGGTGTTTTTCTGAATGCTCCTGCTGCAGAAGTCTAAGCACAACCAAGTGAGCTGGAGCTTGTGGTACTGACAGCTGCCACATGGCCATGTTAGAAAGATCCAAGGGTCATTGTGGAGAAATAAACTCTGCAAATTGTACCAATTGCCATAAAATTGGGGATATTTTTGGTGGTGGTCATCCCTGTCTGCAGTTTCTGTAACAGTGTCTGAATATGGATGTGCTTTTCTACTCAAATACATAACTTAATGTCAGGACACTTATTTTCTTATCCTACTAAAAAGACTGCTTTCACTTTTTCTTCTTAAAAAAATAGTTGAACATCTATTTAGTAAGTAATAACATAATTTAAAATTGTGTTATCATTGCTAAAACATGAATGTAGCCTGGTACCCTGCTGTGCTTCCCCAACCCACATCATTTATGAAGAAAAAAAAAACAATATACTGTGCTACCTCCTACGAGAGAGAGGGGATGCAGGGGGATGTGTGTAGATATGGGTTTTATGAATTGGCAGCTTGGCTGAATCAATTTTTGTTAAAAGATACTTTTTTCAACTGCTGAACATGTTTTATCAGGCACCAGTAGCCAACAGTACTGAAATAAGAGTTAGTACTTGACGTCCTTAAGTGGTTGTGTTTGTTGTTTTGTTTCTTTTCTCACCCCCTTTAAATTTAGGATGGTACAACAGTTTTCAGTGGACTTTGAAAAAAGAATCGAAGGATCAGGAGATCAAGTGGATACACTAGAACTTTCAGGAGGTGCCAAAATCAACCGAATTTTCCATGAACGTTTTCCCTTTGAACTAGTGAAGGTATTTATCCATCTTGCTGGTGTGCTTTGTGCTTTATTAATTTATTCTTGTGTTCATACTGATAATAGGATAGCCAAGGAAAGGTCTGATTGGAAGAACATACTCTTAAGTGGGGAAGAAATTACATGAAGTTATACTTAAAACATTTGGCTTCATTTCTAGGATTGGATACTGAGACATGCTAAGAGTTCTAAAGCATATGAACTAGAATATAATTATAGTCCTAGTTCAGCCTAGTTTCTGTGCTTTTCTGTTGTTTTATCACAAATGGCATCTTTCTTCTGGTTTAATGGGCAGGCAGACAACTCCAGTTGGTAAATTTATGTTCAAGGAGCTACTATCTATTAAAATTAGAGTTATGGAAAATAACCATTTTCTGTGTGTTCTACTTCCTATATTCAGTACATTAAACCAAAGCCAGCTTTCAGTCCTACTCTTTCATAGGGAGCGGTGGAGCAGGGTAGGTCCCTTCCAACCCAAATTATTCTATAATTATGATAGTTGGGCTTACGTAATGACCCCTTCATTTGTGACAGCACTAACTTCTCTTCCAGCTAGCTGACTTTGAAAGAAACCTAAAGAAAAGCTTTATAACTTCATAACTGAAACAACTCCTCTCTTAAATTTGGTTGAAAAACAGTAGAGTGGGAAGGAGAGGATAAACAGATCATAATCACAGAAGATGCACCTCTTCAAGAAACCAGGCTTAAAAAAAAAAAAAGTGGCATCTTCCAAGTCCTGTTTCTGGCTTACTCTGTCAGCTCTACAAAATCATTCCAGCTATTTGTATATCTGGAATGCAAGGGGGTGTGATTTTCAGCAATCCTTCCTGCTGCCTGTAACCTGAGTGTTAAAATGTTTTAAAATACTTATGCTTTGTTTAGAGTAATAAGAAATTACTATTTTGTCAGTTGAAGTTGCCTCTTTTCTGGTCAGACTGGGAGAGGTAATATTTTCTGTTTTTTATTAAGAACTTCCCCTAATACACTCTCACGTGCTGTTGTTCCTCTAGATGGAATTCAATGAGAAGGAACTGCGGAGGGAGATAAGTTATGCCATCAAGAACATCCATGGTATCAGGCAAGTGCTCCCACATTTCCAAGCCCAGTCCCATTATACAGGTGTAACATCTTTGGAAAGCGTTGCTTCCAGGCTTTGGTGTTCTTTGTGTTTTGGAAAATGTTCCTCGTGTTCCTTGCTGAGTAAATTCTCAGAAGGTTGACATTAGTAGTTGTGGTGCAGTGTTTGAGCTTTCCTTGCCTTGTTGATTTTTTTTTTTTAATATATATGCATAATTTATTTGCCAGGGTAGACCTTGGTGAGCAGTGTTTGAAAGAGAAGTAGGACCCGTTTGTTTAGGACTGGCTGTGGGAGGTGTCTGTACATCTGGAAGTAGTTTCTACTTGTATATCTTTCAAGCATATTTCTGCTTGTATATTGTTACTCAGAATGACACTTTCTTGAGAAAGAAGAAAATTTAGTTCTGTGGAAGTCTCTTTGCGTAGAGATTGTTATCACTCAGCTCTGAAAATGAAGATTTGAGCAATTCAGTAAAAAAAAAAATCTTCCTTGCATGATGTTTTTATTACTGTCTGACATATTTTTTTATGTCCACAGAACAGGTTTGTTTACTCCAGATATGGCATTTGAAGCCATTGTTAAAAAACAGATAGTTAAGCTGAAAGGACCTTGCTTGAAAAGTGTGGATCTGGTGATGCAAGAGTTAATCAACACCGTCAAGAAGTGCACTAAAAAGGTAGCTTGCACATAGATCTGGTAATGTAAGTAAAATGTAATAATGTGGTAGAGAATGTAAAACCTGTCTTGCATTTTGTGGTGTTGCAAGAGATTTCTGATCCAGTCACTTGATTACAGAGTAAGACTTTCTCATATAATTACATCTGCAAAGCTCTCAAAACAGAGTGCAATGATGGAAAAGTTCTTTTTTTTTTTTTTTTTTGATTCCTCTCTTTTAAATCTTATGATGGGAGGTGTTTCTGGGTCAGGTGATGCCCCCAGCTTCCTCTTCAGAGCCATGGTTACAGTTTTTAGCTGACTGGCTGTATTCACTCTCACCTGTCCATCTGTCTGTCCCACCAGCTCAGTGCAGGGGACAGAGCAGCAGGTACAGGAGCTGCTCTGGGATGTGAGCACAGGTTTGATGAAGTGGTTCAGAAATATCCTGTCACAGCCTCTGCATTTTTCTGAATAAAGCAGATTTTTTTATACTGATGAGCAGGTAAAGAGGATATTTCTTAAAACAGGAAAGGCAAAGATTAAAGAGAAGCAGATTCACCTCTATATTTTGAAGGGAGTTTCCAGATTTTTTTCACTTTTGTCAAAGTTTGGAAGACGCATCACTAGGATTAATTATGGAGATGCTTTTCCCAAGGGTATTGGGCAAATTTACCATTGTATTTTACTGTTTATATTTTTTGTTATATAAAGATGTTGCCGCAAGGTGGAGCCTTTAAAGAACAAGAAACTTAGAAACTATTTGAAGTGCCACTTTGGAATTAGGCACAGTAGAAAAGAGGAAACCTCACCCCAAGGCTGATAGGCTGTGTTTTCATATGCCTAAAGTGTCTTTTCATTTATATTCCATGGAGCAAAAGCAGAGAAACAATTTAAGGGTTTAGGTCTCTGCAGTTTCTCTGAAGAAAAGCAAGTAAGGCTTGCTTTGCAGCATGGCTAACTCTGAGCTCAGGAATTCATAGTATTTGCTTTCTTCCAAAGAGGAAAATTGGAGGCTCCCTCTGTTTGTGTTCCACTGAAGCCACCCTGCAGGTGTAAACTCCTTACCTTTGTGTTTCAGTTGGCAACATATCCAAGGTTGTGTGAGGAAACAGAGAGGATTGTTGCCGGCTACATTCGGGAGAGAGAAGAGAAGACCAAGGATCAGGTGAGAGTAAACAGGAGCTCTAAAAGTTTGGAGAACTGTGTAAGGGAGGAAAGTTCTTACATACAAAGTGCAGTAAAACAATGAAAGTTTTTTTTTTTTTTAACAGGCTTCACGTTTTAGAGGGGGAGAAAAACTGCTTCTCTATCGCTGAGCTTCCACAGAGCAGACTAAAATTGTTACAGAAAGGTTAAGCAGTGGCTTGTTCCTGTGCCATTGTGGCCCTTAATGATTAAACAACTGCATACAGAAATTGCCAGTCTTTTTTCTACTTTGTTTCCAGGTGTTATTAAAGGACCCATTCCATCATCTAATTACAGCAATGCTCACAACTAATGGTATCCATACTCTTGCAGGAGTGACAAGGTTCCCTTCAAGGTCACAAAATGTAAAAAAAAACCCCAAAAATTCAGAGAAACTTGTTTAGAACATTCATCACCCAGCTAAGCACTCCAAATCCAGGAACTGCAAAGCTTAGATTACATGTTAAAAAATCCACTGGAAGTGGGAACAGGAATTATTGTCTGGAGAGTGCAGTGTGACAACAGAAATATTTGAGGAAGAAGAGCTAGGCAGACCTCCTGAGTTGTTCTGCCCCTGTACAAACTAGAGAACTGTGCAACACATCCTGCTCATTTTCCTTTAATCTGTGCTGCAAATGTAGTTCTTAAAAATAATTAAATTTATTTGCTGGGCTTGTACTTGCAGGGAGTTCTAGTTAGAACATCCAGTTATCTCAAAATTTGGGAGAAGATGCGAGTTACTTAGAATGATTGAGTCTTGTTTTCCCATTCTTCATCATGTGCACATTTCTATTTCCCAGAACCAAGCACAAAGCACCAGCTTTCTGTAAATACCAGGAATTGTCCAAATGGGGTATTGTCACTTATTCATAGCATTAATTATGCTGTTATCATTTTCATTAATAAACCAAAACAATACTGAGGATATTTTCAGAGGTAAGAGATGGAGCAAAAAATAATGGGGGATTTTGATCTAAGTGAGGCCCCCTAATGTCCTCTGGAAATTGTGAAGAATTTGGGAGCGATGCTCTGTCTGAGGAGCTGTACAGAAATAAAGCTGTACACTTGGAAGAGATTAAGTGCTACCATTTGGTATGTGTAGGTTCCTTCCTTGCTCCCTGCTGATACATGGAAGCCTGAAAAGACAGGGGGAAAGTGCAGTCTTTTGTTCCAGGAGCTGTTGAAGGGTGGGAGTGAACTTTTGCTAATATTTTAGCAAGCTTTTTCCCTGAGTTAGATTATCAAGTTTGAATCATATTCAGTCTCTGGGCTATTGAAGGACTGACAAGTGCTAAGTACACAAACCATTCTGTCTTGTCTTTGATGACCCATCTCCCAATCCAGATGTGCACACCAGAATTGCTGTCTAGTACCTGGGCTGTGCATTTTCTGGGTCAGGGCTTAACTTCCCCATCACTGCTTGGTGTGGCACATAAAGAAAATGGAGGTACCTGGATTTTAGGTTTACAGTTCAGGTTCTTTGCTGGCTTGGCTGGGATGCTACAGATAGACAGTTTTACTTGACTTGCATAATTATTAAACTCTCTCAGGCTCTGGATGATTGATCTTAATGGAGTGGGCCAAGAGAGTGAAAAATGAGGTCTGTCAGGAAAAAAAATAGGAAGAGGGAATAGCTCTTCTGTAGTCTAACTTATTAAACAAGCGCAGAAGCAGTGGAATTTAGAAAATATTGCTTTTGGCTTGAACAATTGTTAAAGCAATATTCAATAATGCAGAAAACACAAAAGTTCTGGGTTTTATTCCCTTCCTTTCCTTCACTCTTTCTCTTCCACTTTACCCATATTTTTTTTCTCTCCTCTCTCTAATAGATGCTGCTGCTGATTGATATCCAGGTTTCTTATATCAACACCAACCACGAAGATTTTATAGGCTTTGCAAAGTAAGTATGTAGAGACTTTGTTGGGAAAATACTGTAAGGGTTTGTTTGTTTGTTTGCTTTTATTTATTTATTTATTTAATTAAATTGAGAACACAAGTCCTGAAGTGTGGCAGTGAAAGATGCAAGCTGCAGAGTCCCAGACATGCATGTTCTTTCTCAGTATACAGAGTGTTGAACTCCATCCCACTTGCAGGGGAGTCTTTCCTGGTTTCAGTGAAGCTGAAGCTCATGCCTGGGTCTGGAATTACACGAAGCAGCTTTGGCACATCCATTTCAGGACCGCAGAAATGCATAATATTGGTGGTCTTTCCACATTGCTGCTGATGCATATTTTGGGAGCTGTGATTCCGTGTGAAACAGTTTTACTCAGAATGATGGATGTCACAGAATTTGAAGTGTGCCTTCTGTTTGGCTGTAGAGAATAATAGTAGCAGAATGCCCTGCAGGGCCTGATTTGATGTTCTCCTCGCTTAATTGAAAAGGCTGTGAGAATATTCTCCAGAATGTTCTCCCTCAGTTTCCAGCAATTTGTGCCTCAGGGACTTCATACCAGCATTTTGACACCAGTAAAAACATTAAAGATGTCTTCACTCTTTGAAGAATAAATACTCCTTCAGTCACATTGGTTTTATGAATTGTGCTTTTTGCCATAACAACCTTTGGAAATCACAGCAGGTTTCAACCATGTGGGATGCTGGCAACGGTTTGGCACCAGTGTCCATATTTTACTCTGGCCTGTTCAAGTTAGCACTGTGCAGGAAGGGCCACATCTTTGGCCTTATGCCTTGAGGGTTTCAAACGTGGAGTTCAGTAAGCTGAGAAGGGAGAAGGCAAAGCCAGGCACTATTTATGTGTTTGGTTGGAGCGACTTTCTCTAGAATTGTTTGCAGATCCTAGATATCTTTATCAGTTCTCTTGACAAATGACAGGATGTTGTAGGAATGGTAGGTGGCCTTCTAGAGGTCAAGATAACAACCTGCCTGCTATTTACTTCTCTTCATCCTTTTCTGACAGGAAAAAGCTTGCTAAAAACACTCCGTATATATTCGTGGTGTGTGCTGTGACCTTGGGAAGTCACATAGTCCAACCTCCTGCTCAGAGGAGGGTCAGTGTTGAGTTCAGACCAGGTTACTCAGGGTTTTGTCGAATCAGATCTGGAAAACTCCCAAAATGGGAGATCCTCCAGCTTCTCTCTGTAGCCTATTCCAGTGTTTGCCTCTTCTCACCGGGAAAAGACTTTTCCTTGCGTTAAGTTGGAACCTTCCATGTTTTATAATATTGGATTCTGGAGTGCCAGGTGTATCTGAAGCTATTTCAGCATGTTTTTCCCCTGGAAAAATTCTCCTCCTGGATGCTGCTGCTGTGGCCTGTAGTTCAGTCCATGCTCCTCACTGCTGTGTCTTTCCCAAGGTGTTGCAGTGCCTGAGTTCAGTTTCTTGGGAAAGCTGCTTCCTCTTTTTGCAGCTCAGACCTAGAAATCCCCAGCCACTGTGCACAGGGTATAAGTAGTTAACAAGTGACTCTTCGCTTAAGTTCACTGGTAAGTTTAAGCAAGAGTTACTCTAGGTTGGAACGGGTTGGAAGCAAAGTATCCTTGTTGACTTCTGCTCAGCTGGAAAAAACAATGTGGACAGCAAAGAACAATTTAAAATATGTTCATTTATGAGCTCAACGGAAGAAAATAATAATTTGAAACTGTAAGCATGGTATTGTTATATCAGGTATGTTAGAACTTGAAAATGAGTAATTTTTGGGTAGCATGTGGTCTTCTCCAGCTTCTGAATGTCCTGGACTATGGATTCCTCAGATTCCCTGGTGTTTCCTTCCCTTTGCTGAGGCTTCTAGCCCCTTGTCTCTTGTGCCCGCAGCATTTTAATAGTGAACCTTGGTCATAAGAATGAAAGCACAAGACATTTCAAACTGCCTTGCAGCATTGCAGGGCCTGAGGCAGGTGCCTCAGGTGTGATGTGAACTGTCTTGAGAGGGATTTAAGAATGCCAGTATTTAGAACAAATTTTGCATATTTATGCAGTTATGAAATCTTAGAATATCAGTGTTTGTCTCATTTAGCAGTACAAGCAGTAAAATTTTGGGATGGGGTTTGTTTCCAGTCAGTGTAACTCAGGCACAGTTGTATGCTTCAATTTACAAAAAGAGTAATTTGTATTTAGAACAGTAAATAGAGGACCAATGGATGGGCTATTTCTAAAAGCCATGAGTTTCTTACTATGATGTTCAAGGTTTAATTAGCTTTCCTAAGATGATAGAATTTAAAAAAACCCACAAACCAAAAGAATAGCAATTAAGTGTCCTAAAGCCATGCCAGGTGTGTTTTGGAATTGTTGATGGGTTAGTGCTGTGTTTTCTGTGTGCACATTATTTGATCATAATTGAGGCACCAAAGCTTTTGCAACTCAGACGATGCACCAGGGACGTGCAGTGCCACTTGGGCAAGAGGATCAGGGTGATAGGGAGTTCCATGCAGAGAGCAGGCACACAGAATAAATATCCTTTTGGATCTTCCCAGAGGCAGCGTGTGGACTGCTGGTTTAATGGATCTCCAAAGGGCGAGATCAGAATCTGGAGGGGGTTGAGTTGGTGCTTCAGCAGTTCTTTGGAGCAGCAGCTGCCCAGAGAGCAGTGGCAGGATTGACCTGCAGGCTCTGATCCAAGCACATATTTTTGCCTTTCTTTTTCAGAGCAGCGTTTGTAGCTGATCTAATCCATGGATGCTTTCTCCTTCAGTTAATCAGTGCCTGGTGAAATGGTATAATCTAATCCAAACAAAACTTCCTGTCGCCAGTGCCCGCTCTGGTGGTTGAGTAGCCAAAGCCTTCTCTCTGGACTCTTTTATTCCTCTTTCCAGCAATATTTTAATGTTGTGGCCTAACACAAACCAGCACATAATGCAAATGCTCTTAGAATTAATGACAAGTTGTTTGGTTTTGGGACAGGAGTGTGTTTTGTTTCAGGAACTGGGATTACCAAAGTTCAAGAATTGAGCAAAATACTTTAAATATGGTTTAATTTCAAATGTGCTCTATTCTTATACGACTTCAGCTTTGAACCAGCTTTGGGACAGCTTCATCCATTGGTTATATTTACACCCTCAAAGTGTATATAAATATTAGAATAATATGCAAAACAAACTGTCAAGACAAAGCTATTAGAAGCTTCCAGCAGGGGAGGATTTTGTTGTACTGTGCTAAATAACAGAAATGGCTCTTTGTCTCCTCTGAATATTTATAGAGGCTAATGTTTCCAAAATTACCCACATGAGCCATAATTGCTCTCTGCTTTTTAGTAACCTTTACCAATCCAAATAGGATGTTGTTGCAAAGGATATGATCAGTAGGAACTGTCTCCTGTGCACATCCCTTCTGTTCTAAGCAGGTAGAAAAGCAGTTGAAATATGCACATGTACGCAATGATTTTGCTGTGTTTCTTTTGCTGTCTTAATGTAGCTTTTTCTGCTGGAATCCAGAGTAACTATTGCTGCTAAAATCTATTCCTTGGGAACTGGCTCAGTTCAAGTTTCTTCCGTGTAACTCTTCTCCTCTGCTTCCCTTAGTGCCCAACAGAGAAGCAGTCAGGTTAACAAAAGTGCAGTGGGAAATCAGGTAGGCACCTAACAGAGAATGGATAATGGCATGTGCAAGTTAACCCAAGCTGTTTGGTTTTCTTGGCTGCGTTTTCCTGTTGTGTCTCATTGACCATTTCTGCTTCAACCGTACATAAAACACATCATCATCGCCTTGTTTTGCTGAACTTCTCAGAGCCACCTGACTCCCATTGTTACCATCATTTATTGCTTAGAACTTTCTACTCCTGCTTGCACTGCTGGTCAGTGTCTCCCCTCCCATGGCATTCCCTCATGGATCTCTCATGTTGCACGTCCATGTGTTTTGTCATTAACTGCAAACTTGTGACTTCCAGAATCCAAAATGCTGGTGAGTACTTGCTTTTGTGTGCTTTGCCACAGTGTTTTCTCACTTCTCCTGGGTTCACAGCTTAACAGCAGTGAAGGGCAATTCAGCAAGCACAAGTGGATTTGCCTTTCCCTCTGCTGAAACCTTCACAAAGTTGTTGACTGTGCACCATAGGCCTTTCTCAAAAAGTAAACAAAGAGTATCTGGTTGATGGCCTTACGTTAATTAGCATTTTCACTGAGGTTCATTAATTGTTTGTTTCTTTTTGTTGCATAAGAATATGAGACTGATTCTGCAAGATGCTTGGGGCTCCTGAGCTTTGCTTCTTTCTTTGCTTTTGTGTGGACCAGGAACTCTCAGAACTTCGCAGGATCAGTCCTCTTCTTAATATGAGATAAAAGTAATAAAAGTACTACACCTTGGAGAGTTTATGCTCACTTTGAGGGTTTTGCAAAGTCTTAAACAGAGGGGAAAAAAAGCGTTGTGGAACCAGTACATACTTTAGAAGGAAATAAAAAATTCTGGTAAAAATAATTGAAATTAAAAAAATAAAAGTGAAATTTTCTATAAATAATTACCAGTGTTGAACATCTTCCTGATGTTTTCACGTGCAGTTTGGTCAAACAGCACTCAGGAGGTGAAAGGTCAACATTTTCAAATGTGACCAGTGAGTTTAGATCCCTCAGGTCATAAACCCGAGGTTTCAGAAAATCTCCTGTTCTGCTGCTCTCACAGGACGAGAGTTGTTGGCATTTTCTGAAAATTCAGTTATCTTTTGGGGGGCTAGAAATTCGATCTCTTCCTCCCACCAAGAAATTGCTAGTTATTTTCGAGACATTACTTAAAATAATCCAATAACTTCTTGGATGGGATGGTCCCCTGCAGCCTGACCAGCATGAGTGGCATTTTTGATGTAATATATGGTTTGGATTAAAATGAAAAAGAACCCTGGAAGGTCTAAACACTGAAATGGCTTCAAAGAGGAGGCTCTCCCCTCTGAGGAGAGATTTCCTCCTTATCGAGCTGTGCCGGAACATGTGTCAAACACAACAACTGTCATCACTTTGGAGTGTCCCATAAAAGGAAAATTGACCAATTATCTGACTCTTCAAAAATACACAAATAAAATGAATGATTTTTTAATTAAGTGAATGTTTTCTCTCGAAAGAAGTGGAGGAAAAGCTTGGCGTTTTAAATTCGATGTTGAGGCTTGATTAATTCTGGTATAAAGGACTTTGCTGAACCTTTTATTTTTGAGATAATAAACAGATGTTTATAAGTTAATTGTTTGGAGTTGAAAAGAATGGGAAAATGTTTCTGAAATGAAAGTTCATTTTTGCAATTTGCTATTTCAGGGAACCAATCTACCGCCTTCAAGGCAAATTGTACGAGCTAAGTTCTGTAAGCTTTATTGTTGCTTTTTCATTGAGCTTCTCAGAGGGCAAAGTTTGTCTCTAACTCACTGGTTTGTTGAATACTTGCTACTAAACTATTTAATGTTGAGCTGTCTTGTCTGTAACACTTCCTCAACGAAGTATAATTGCGGTTCATCACTTAACTGCTTCTAACCTGCTGGTACAAGTCTGAACTAGTATAACTTCAAATGTTGTAGAAAACTTTGCATAGAATTAATATTTTTATAATTTACTGAGTTCCTCAAACTAAAATGACTAATTGGTGTTATATTTTGTTATGTAACTGGAAAGCAGTTTTTATCTGATATAAGTGCCTCTATTCATAGTGGATCTCTTTTTGAGTGGTGGGCAAATCAGTTTCTGGTAACCAGAAGGAAACAGTAGCTCCTGTGTAAATGAACATGCTGTTTATGGGTGCAGGTACTCTGCTTGTGTTTTGTTCGTGCCAAGGAATTAGTTTGGATAGAAAAAGTGAGTTTTATGAAAGAAAATATTTAAAGCTGTTTTAGCATTCTTTTCAGAGCACCAGGAGGATCAATATATCATGGACAAATTCTTTTTCTAACCCTTCCACCTCATGAGTAAATAAATACTTGAATGTCTTTAATATTACTAATTAGAATTAATTGTCTAAACTGCAGTTAATTTTATAACAAGTTACTCCTGGTTCAGTGATAGGGGCAAGAAATAAATCTCTCTGTGTTGTGTGCAGTCTTTGGCAATATCTGTGATGAAAACATACACTTTTCCAATTTTGTTGCCACATCAACAAATTGTATTAGTTACAAATTTAAACTAAACATGTTCAGTTATGGAAAAAGGACGGGGCAGGACTGATTCTAACCAGTTGAATTGAATCCCTTCGGAGATCAAGATCACTACGTTTTCCCAAAATAGTGGGATGCTCATTTGCAATCTGTTGCTTTTCTTCTTAGCAGCTGCTTTGAACTGGAATGATGCAGATAACTATTAACTATTTCTCTGTATGTTGGGAATAAGATGAGCCCAGCAATACCTCATTTTTGGACAATAATGCCAATTCCTCTTAACATGTTTTTGCTCCTCTTTCCTCCACTACTAATTTATCCTCTCACACTTAATCTTTGGCCTTTTTTTGTTTGTCTTTTCTTTGCTACTGCCTGAGGTTTTGACCTGACTCCACAAAGTTTCTTTTTAAGCCACAGGTTAGTCTGTCTTCTAATTTGCTTGAAGTAATCAGTGTAATGCTTGGTTTTACACAGGGTCTGGCTCCTGAAAGCTGACCCACTCTTAACTGTGTATGTTGTGTGCTGAGATTTGTTTGGGTGACTAAAATGTAATGCTTAAATCTCCCCTTCATGACAAAGCTTTGAAGATGGTGTCACTGCTCCATGTGCTGAACTGATACTCGGTGTGAGGGAAGGCAAGACAGTCAAATTATAGAGCATTATATGTCATTTATATGAAATTTTGTTTTGAGATTTACTTCAGTGGCAAAATCTGCTGCTGTGCTTGAAGTAGCCCCTGTAATTGCAGAAGAGGCTCAGTGTGAACTGTTTCAAGTCACTGTCTCAGTGGTTTGGAGATGTGGGTCTGAAGGCTTTGTCTGACCTGCCTCTTCTGCAGTGTTACACCACCAACCTGATTCACCTGTTCTGGACACATAAGTAGCATTCAGACCCCATGGGTTGGCCTGAACTTTAGTGCTAATAAATAACTTTTCCTGTAGTAACCCCGTTTTTTTTCCTTTTTCTTTTAATGCTGCTCTGTAGCATACTTGGCTGCTGCTTCTCTTCAAATGTACTTAAATCCTGTTATCTTGCATGACCCAGGAAAAAAACGTTTATGGCATTTTTTTAAGCAACCAGATGGAAATGGAAACCTGTGCCTTGGTCAGTGAGGTGGTCATGAAAAGTCATGACAAGGCTGCTGTCTTAAGAAATGCCAGTATTTCTGTAAAAGAAGTGGTGCCCAAGGGTTCCCACATTCAAGAATGTTTCAAAATTTAGCATCAGGAATCATGCTGCTTTTGAATTTTCATTTATCAAGTATTACCATTCTAAATGACTACTTATTTTTTGGGTTGAGATTCCTGCATGTGTGACTTATTCCCCTCAGTCTTTGTTTAACTGTATTTGGAAGCATGTTTAAGTTTTTTACCACAGAGTGCTTTGCTTCAGTAGAGACTAAATTTTTCTTTAAAGCAGACCTGTATTGGGGACTTCAGCCACTGTCATTATTTTTCAGTTATGTAATATATTGTGCAATGTCAAAAGATCTTGGTTGTGTTCAGTATCAGAACAGATCTCATCAGTTTATGCTCTGACGTGGCAAATTACAGTGAAATACTGTATTAGGTTTCCCCTCTAATATGAAAAGTGAGATAATCTTCATAGTTGAACACAAAGAGCCCATAGCTTATCAGAATGCTTCACAGAGTAGTTTTTCCAATTTTTATTCTCTCAATACACTTACTATTTGATAACACGTGTTGTTATGACAGTGACTGGAAGATAGAGTAGTACTGGGAGTTGTGTTCTGTGTTCAGAATTATTTCAATGGAGTTAAGCAACACAATTTTAATAGAGTTATGTTAACAAGTGCTGCTGCTGGAATGTTGTGGGAGTAGCCAGTCTCATCATTTTCACACTTGTATTTCTGTCTGCCCAGACAATTTCACTTATTTTGAAATCATTCCTCAAATACTTCTTTAGAGAATCAGAAAGTGTTCCATTTCCTTAAATACATTTCTTTTACGAATACCTCATTTGATTCAGTGCAACGAAGAAGTTATGCAGCAATACAGAAAATGTGCTTATTGTGTCAAATCCTGCTTTCCTGTTTATCTGTGAAGTCCTGGAGAGTAAAAACTACAAATATGATTTGGGTTTTGTGCAGCTGAACTATGAGAAAATGATTTCCTCCTGGCTTGTTCACGTGAATTCGTAGCCTCGAAGTTTCATTTTTCAGACACCCAGATTAGGTATCAGGATCCTGAAGGAAGGAACTGTCATCTCTTGTTCATCCTGTGCATGGAGTCCAACTACCGGTCGGAATATTGTCCTCAGGAGCTTCTGGCAGTGCCCATATTTTTCACCTTCCTGAGCTCATGTCACTGATATCCGCTTTGCACAGGGTGACATTTAGAAATATGATTGAGAATATTGAAATGGTTCTCTTAGATTCGAACCAACCAGCAAATGAACTTGGGAAAATAATGAAACACACTGCTTTCATTTTTGAAGCTGCAGGACTATAAAACATTCCTAACACTACAGTTTAAAAAAACCTCCAAAACAATACCCCAGAGATTTTTTTTTTTAACTTCAGAAGTATCTTTGAAAATCATAACTGCTTATTGCCCGTGGAAGAACACTTATTTCTAAAATACAGCTTTTTTTTTTTTTTTTTTTTTTTTTGAGAAATTGGCTGCAGTCTAAAGTTTAATTCAGCTTCTCGGGAAAGTAAAAGTGTGTTGCTCAATCTCACTTTGTCTTGAACTTAGACCTTGATCCAACATCTCCCTCCCCTTTATCTCTGACACTGGTGCTGAGTATTTTATAAGTGTAGCTCTTTGTAGTTAACAGAATGTACCTGGGAAATAGGAGGAATTCTCTGAATAGAACATGAGGCTTAGCATCCTAAGCTCAGCTTCTCCCTCTTGATGCCCCCTGGAACAGGTTCTTAGTATTTTAGGTAGCTGTGAGCTTTCACAGTGCCCAAGATATTTTAGGGCACTGTGTTTTCCCAGAGGAGTACAGATAAACAGGTCTAGAAATTTGCACATGTGAAAATCACATACCCAGGATATTGCTGTAGGTTGGTGTCAGGCTCTTTGTGCAGTGCTGTGTGGGAATGACAGCTGGATCTAATCCTCAGCACACAGGATTTTTGAGGAAACAACTGGCAAATTCCTTCCTTTACGAGACAGTGACCAGTGTTTGTATTAGCGAGTCAGCTTGTTTCTGTCCACCCCGAGTGATGGTTCTGCTGCTATGGGGAGATGTGTTGGACTGCACATGACAGTCTTTTGGAGCTGTGCAACCTAATGTAGTTCCTGCATTAGAAATACTAAAAATTTCATTATACTTCCTTTATGGCTTGCATAGTTCAGATTTAAAAACCTGGGCTTGGTCTGTTCTGAGACCTCGACCACAAATGTGTTCTTGTCAAATGGAGAAAATTCGACTCTTATTAACATGTTTAGGGGCTTATTAACATTACAGACCCTGCAGTCATGGTGATGGAATAAGCAGAGAATGTCACTTCCCTTTCCTTTGAAGTGCTCATCACGGATAAAGTTTTTGAACCAGCTACTCAGGTGTTTCTTACTGGTTTGCTTTTAGAAACAACCTCTTTATCCTCCCTGACATCTCTCTTCAGATCTTTCACCCTATCTGAGCTGTGTCTCCAAACTAGTTCCCAGTGGGGGGCTGCCCCAGCTGTGGTTCCTGGATGTGGATATGAGCTTCGCACGGAGCAACACTGCATTTTCAACTGCAGATAGAATGATTCAGCAGCATCCTCTCTCCTACCCTCTGATTTCAGTTTCTTTCTAGTGTGGGAATACCCACCCTTGTCCGTGTGCTGTGAAGTATTTAGTCTGCTGTACAAATACAGCTCGCCGTGCTGCAGAGCTAAGTTCAGGTTGCTTTTCCTGCAAATCTGTTCCCTTGGCATTTGTGTGGTTCAGTGCAGAAAAAAAAAAGTAGAATTAGTTTGGTTCCACAACTTTCTCTCTGCCAACTGCCTGAAGGCCAGTACACTGACTGTATATACATGTTGCTTGCTTCCTGTGAAACGTTCACTTCAATAAACATCGTAAAATAAAATGAGGATTTGATGGGTAATCAAGTTCTTATCAGTGCATTTCCCTTAACTTGCCCTCAGACAAGCATTCCATCTTTTTGTACTCACTAATGCCCCTCTTCACTTAGTGTTTTTTTTTTTTCCCAATGAACATGAATATTAAAAAATACTGACCAACTTCTGTAGAAACCTTTGCAGAAGAGGCTGTTCCATCCAATCTGCTTGTGCTGTACCCTTGAGTCTCTTTACAGGAGTCCTGCCCAGTCCTCTTATTGCTTACTCAAACTTCAGAACCAAATCAGTGCTTTCTTAGATATTTTCTTACAGACAGAAATCCTGTGGACTGGTTTTGGATCTTCAGGGCTTTTCTTACACTGCTGGCCTGGTTGGTAGTAAGTGGGAAAACACGATCATCCAATTTGAAATGAAATTGATACTCTTGGATGATGTGCATTTCCAATACAGTTTCCTGCTTTTCAGGTGCCACTTCTGATCTCTTCTTTGGTTTAGTTAGCAGATTTAACTTAGTCCCTTGCTCTGTGCAAAACCAAAGCTGTTTTTTTCAGGGAGCTTACATGAACATCCATGGTGAGTGGGAGTGAATTGTGATTCTGGAACTTGTATAGATGACCAGGAATAGATGGTGAGCCGGGTTCTTCTCTACTGAGTTGCTGACAGCAGAGTTACTGGTCTTGTAAAGCCCTGTGAGAGGAATATCAGTCTCGAATATTTCTTTAAATCCAACAGGAAACTCATGTTTCATCAGACAAGTCTTTGGCTTGTGTCTGTTTTATGAAGTTCTGCTTTACCCGTTTTCTCCCCCAATTTTTATTGCTGCCTTAGGCTTTTTCTTCTTCTTTTCTATTTCTCTTCTACCTTAGGAGAAGAAAATACCTCTCACATGCCTCTCCTTACCCCTTCCTACCTTAATTTTAAATTAACTCTAGAAGAGCTCTCCACTTTGTCACTTGATGCAACCCAGTTTGAAAATTCCCAGTGTGTGGCAGAAACCACTCACTTTGCTAGTATCTAAGTGCTTTTCCTAGTATCCAGCTTTACAAATGACCTTTAGCAATCAGACTAGAACAGGATAGTCAGATATAAAGTTGTATGGACTTCTACAATGTGTTGTTGTACAGCAAATAAATACCCTCAAGTTTACACGATCCTTAACACACACATACTTGCTCTAAATACAGTATTCTAATAGTTGGGCTTCTCCCTGTCTGCAGCCTTTTGACTGAAAACATATTCATTTTATTACTTTCTTTTTGAAGGAACCTGCAAAACCCCTTGAATTTGCCAGAGACTGAAAAAATGCACCTGTTTATGCTTTATTTAGCGAGTCTTCATTTAAAAGAATGAATGCAGCAGCAGAGTGAGTAATGTCAAGTGAGTAATGATCTAAACTTGTGCCTGACTGCACCTTTGCATAGGTCATTCGGAAAGGCTGGCTGACCATCAACAACATTGGCATCATGAAGGGAGGATCCAAGGAGTACTGGTTCGTTCTGACCGCGGAGAGCTTGTCCTGGTATAAAGATGATGAGGTAAGGAACGAAGAACTTTATACTACTGGGGAAAAGAAAACTACTAATTCAGTCTTCTCATACCAGCTAGAAATATTAAATCAGCTTGTACAGCCTTGAACTGGAAGATTGTTTTAAGGTTTTAGCTGTGTTCTTTGAATTTCTGTTTTGATTCGTGAAGAATGCTGACTGTCTGAGACTTCTGTTGAAATGCTGATAACAAGTACAGGGTGTTGTGTGGGGTTGTTTTGTTTGTTTGTTGTTTTCCCTTTTTCCTCTCTTCCTGTGATTTCTACACATTGCTCTGAAAAAGAAAAAAAGGGAAAAAAACCCAGGCTGTTGTGAAATGTTGTGGATGTTTTCCTATGCCTGTTTGGGCTGCTCTTACACATCTACTTAAGCTGATCATAAATCGTCTGGGTAAAGTTACTTCTAAAAGTAACTCCAGCAGTTGGTTTAATGATAGCAGTTCTTCTTCGTCCTCATATTCTGAGATGATGAAAAACCTGTCTGCAGAGTTCTGTAGCTCTTGGTATGGATTTTCAGATTTGACCAAAAATGTGCCTTTGTGGATGATCAGTAAATCTGAGGTGAGTAATGTGGGAACTGGCAAAAGCATTTCTCTGGTAAAAAGGTCATCCAGGTTGCTCGCTGTATTGAATATATTGGTAGGAAGCTTGTTTGTTCTGTTTAATTACTTTTTCAACAGTGTATGTGTTGTAATGATGTGCTGTATCCAACCCTCCAGCAGTATTTTGAAGGTTAAAATAGGATTATTGTGTGTGCTATCAGATTTACAATGAGGCCTTTGGTGGGTTATTTTAAGGTTTGTGTTGGTGTTCGTTGAAAAATTGTGTTACATTTAAGAAGAAATCCTATTTTTTTTCTGACTTTTTTTTAAAAGTTAAGTATTTCCAGCAAAAATTTAATGGTTTTTAGGGTGAAGCAGTTCATTGGATGGAAGAGCCGCAGGTAAAGAGAAAGTTTTAAACGAGCTGTAAAACATCACTCAATCTTTCCATCTTAATCTAAATAATAATCACAACACTGGCTGATCCCAGCAAAACAGGGACCTGGTCGATGGGGACTGCAGACAATTCATATTCTCTTTGAACTAGTGTAGTGTTTTACTGCAGTAGATTTTCTGGAGGCACTGGGGAGAGGTCCTGCAGTGCACATGGGTAGAGTCGGAGCTTTCCTGAGTCCTGCAAATCCAGGGTGTGATCCTTGCCATAGGAAGTTCTCTCAGTAGTGCTGCTGATGGTGGAAACTGTGCTGGTCAGTAGGGTTTGTTTTGTTTTGTTTTGTTTTGTTTTTTCCTTAGGTCAGTAGCTATTTTGGGACAGACCTTAAGATTGAGGGACAAATGAGGGTAATTTTGGAGATCTTGCCCTTTGCCCTTTTATTTAAGTTTTAAAGGGATTCAAATATATATACTGTGACAGGAAGACAAGTGTGTGCCAGGCAGAGGGGAGGAGCCAAGGGACAGATGTTAAGAGGGGAAGTTTTATTCTCAAATTGCTGGAATATACTTTGAAAGAAATGCAAAAGTCACATTATGAATTTGAAAACTTGAAGCTGCTGGGTTTTGTGATTTACCTTGAGGTTACAAGACCTTGTTTTTTTAGGTTTGGTGCAGGTAACGAACTAAAACAAGCGAGGGGGGTAATTAACACCCCTCCTATGTTCTGTCTCAGGCCATTGGAGGTGCATCCAGAATATGCTGTGGCAACGTTTAATGTAGTTTTTTAGGGTTTTTTGAGTGTGGTTTTGTTTGATGCGGAATATAAAAATTCCTAAAAAGGCTAATGGTATGTCTTGTGCTATGCAACTTTAAAAATAAATAATTAATTTTGATAGTCTGCTGGAGGGAGTCACCTGGAAATAGTACAGAATAGTATATGGAAAGAAATGGCCACTGGGTGATTTCTATATACATATTTTAAAGTAATGTCTCTTAATTGCAAACAGTTATGCTTTGAGAGTCATGAAAATGCCAGTAGTTCATTCAGGCCAATATAGCAGCTCACTGAGAAATTTCATGGAGTGGCAAGAGAAGATAATAGGATAGTACTATTCTATCCTTCACTGGTGGAAAAAGTTCTTCCCTAAGTACAGATTAGCTGTATAATTTGATTATATTTTCCTGGTAAAGAGTATACAAGATTATGATTTTTAATTTTTTTTTTTTTTTGTACTGAACCTCTTATAGTAGGACTGAAAAAAAAAATGAGTAAGGTCTGTTCTGTCTACTTTTTGAAGAAGGTCAAAGCCACAGCTTGGCTGTTAGTCAAAAGACAAGTGACTTGTTTCAGAAACAGACACTATGGGCTTTGAAAATAAAGAAGCAAATGTATAATCTCCTGGCTGAATTCCAGTTTTTATAATTTTGCCTCCTTAAAACGTTCTCCTCATTTCCAGCGTGGTTTGGTAGTTGCCACATCCCGTTCTCAGCTGGTGACTGAACTGGCTTTGTGCGGGCACCTTTCCCCCGGTGACATTCCCAGTGTCGGGGATGTGAGAAGTGACAGCGGTGTTTGTGCCTCTGGCTGTGCCCTGCGGGGTCCAGGGGGGTTTGGAGCCCCCTCCTCCCTCTGTGCTGGTCACTGCTGCTCCAGTCCCTCCCAGCAGCGCCAGTCTCTGCATCACAGCTGGGCACGGGGCAGAGTCAGCTCCCACCTTTGTTCTCTTGCCACAGCCATGGGTTTGTTCCCCCTGTGCCTGCACCCCTGAGCAAGGAATGTTGCAGCAGCTTTGGACCAGAGAGCTCTGACAACGTACTTTCCAAAGCTCCAGTGCCTGCTGGGGCCTCCGGGGCTGTGTACCCCCTCTAGTGTAAGCTGAGACCATTTTCTAGTCTGGAATTTACTCTGACATCAAAATCACTCCGAGTGCTAGTGGTTGCTTGCTAGTGCCATGAGAGGGATGTAAATTGCGTCCTTTATTTGTGAGGTGCAGCTTTTATAAGTGATGAATCCACAGTGGAATGCATTTTGAAACAAGTTGCTTTGGCAAAAGGCTTCAGTTTTTGCTGATGATATCAGTGTTACAAAAGAAAAAATTGGTTTCTTGACATGGTTTCGTTGCTGTCAAAGATACAACAGGATTTTACTCCTTGTGAGAGGGACTCGGTGCCTGAGAATGCTTTTTAGGCTTGTGTTCATAACTCTGCTGTGTGACCAGGACCATGGCTTTGTGCTTTTCCCCTTAAAAATGAAACAAGGAAAACGCTGTGTACACCTTTGAGGCTGCTGTAAATAGGTGCAAGATTAGCACATTCAGTGGCCCTACAAATACAGCTTTATTTCCTGGAGTATTCCCTGTAATCCCAGCTGGAGTGTTGTAAGGCACAGCTACACACACACAGATTATTAAATCTGAGCATTTTAGCTTTCAGTTGTTACTGTCTTGTTAAGTAGCATTAATTGAGGTTCATTGAGTGTCAACCTCAAATACAAAGTTTGTGAATTAGGCACTTCTGTGTTAGGATGAAATGGATTTTGGGAATGTGGAATGCTTGTGAATCCAAAAGTTCTCTATATAAACAAATGGCTGCCATTTGTAAAGTCGTGTAGCATTTTTACAGGGCACGGTCACAGAATGTGATTTTATTATTCTTTTTTAAAGCATTTAGAGATTTTGCTGGCTTTTTGGCGTGCAAAGGATGCCAAGCTGCACTCTAGGATTATAACTTCTAAAAATGTGAAATTTACATTTATTGGGAAAGTCCCCTTTGATCTTATTTCCAAAGAAAATATTTCCATTCTGTTCCAATAGGAAATGATAGCATTGTCAACATCCGGTGATAGATGCAGTTTGTGTTATAATTTCACAGTTTATTCCCAATTGTAAAATTATGTCAGATTTGGGAGCAAGATACAAAATTAAGTGAGGAGATGAGAGAGTGGAAAGGGGAGAAGTTACTCTAAGGTGTGACACTGTGTATGTTTACAGGATTAACTTGCCCCACAACAAACTGCTCTCAGCTTCTGTGGCAGGCAGGAATGTCAGTGAGGTCGATACAGCAATAATCTAATAATGCAAGCTGCTCAAGCTATGCCTTGGAAGTAAATGGAAGGACAAAACATCCGTAGGTGCCACAGAACTGGGTATAAATAAAACTTACTGTTAGTGAGTTAATGAGAACAACTAGGAAAAGAGTACTATAGGAAGCACAGTAAAAATTTCAGCAGTGGGTTTTATTGTCGTTTATAGGCAGTGTTTGACCCTGGGTGGGTTGGAGCACGCGGCTTGGTACTGACCGGCCGTCTGGGATCCAGTGACTCGTGGCTGGAGCTGCTGGTGCAGGTGCTCTGGGGTGTCAGAGCGCTTTCCCACTGGCGGCTGTTCCCTCAGGCTGGGTTGTCATGCGACTGCCTGTCTGTGCCTGCTGTACAGGTGAGAGGATGTTCTGCACAGCAAGTGTAGACAGGCAGACACATGACAACTCCGTCCAGCCAGTCCCTTGGAGCCATCGCCGCTGGTGTGCAACACTTTGTACCAATCCACTCTGGGGGGGCTTTGTTGGGGGGGAACACACATAACAGAATTCAACTTTAAAGCATTAGGAGCTGTAGAACAAGAACAGAACTTGATTTTATTCAGAAAAGCGGCGTTTCGGTACATGAGTTATCGTTGTGCTGACATAGCGGGGGTGCGATTTCAACAGACTGGTCACACTGCACAGTTGGGAAAGCGAAAAGAACCGAAGCCAGCGTTTATTTTATATGCAATTCATACAGGGGTTTGCCTGCAGATTGTACTTGCACATAGTAATTTAACCAGATGTTTTTACTCTTCATGGAAGCACAGAAATACTGAAGTTCAAGATAAAGGATATGTTTATACAGTGCATATTTTCTAGGAGCAGATAAGTACAATAATCTGGCATGTTAAAAATAAAAATCTTTCTGTATAAATGGAGGAAGCCACTTGCACATTAACCCCATTATGGGGAACATGCTGGAAAGAAAAATGGTTGCATTTTATATCGGTTTTGCTAATATGCAAGAGCTACACGT